TAAACTATACAGATGAAGTTTATGAGCTTTTATTAAGTTTTTGCTTTAATTGCTTCAAATTAATTGCACAATAAATTACTTTAAGTTAAGAGATTTAATTATTTTCTATTAAATGCTTTCGTATAATGGGAGCAAATAAATTTTCATTTTGTTATTTGTAAACAAAAGTGTTGTGTTTTGATATTTTTAATGCTAATACAATAATGAATTATTCAAATCTATACATACGTTGAAAATATTTTGAGACTATTTTTAGTATAAAATCAATTGATTTAAATTTTATGTTGAGAAACGATTTAAATTGATCACAAAATTTCCTAAAAAGATGTATTAGTATTGTCTCGGTTTTGATAACTAATTAATTGAAATGTCATTCATTGAGACAAAGGAAAAGATTCCGCATATAATTCACAATAAGTTTTATGTAGTGTTTTGTACTCTTAGTCTCAACTAAATTGATGTCTCAATCAATATAAGAGACGGGTTTCCAAAAGGATTTAAGGATTGAAATCAGTTTTAATTTATAAGAAGAGAGTGAGAGAGAGAGAGAGAGAGAGAGAGAGAGAGTGAGAGAGAGAGAGAGAGAGAGAGGCTCTGAATATGAATTGCTATTCAAAAGTGTTATCCTTGACTGAGATGACTGTTCCCTACGATTAACTCTTAAATACAATTGTATGCATTGAATAGAAATAATAATATTTAAATTCCAATAAATTAATTGTTGTTTGGCTTAACAACTAATCTGAATATCTGTTTGTGGTGTTCAGGTCCGCGATCGCGAAAAATCAAGAAAAAGGAGAAGAAGGCGGACGAGAAGAGGCCTCGGACTGCGTTCACTGCCGAACAATTGGGTCGATTGAAGCAGGAGTTTCAGGACAATAAGTATGTGTTTGTGTTTGTCTTGCATTGTATTCCTATTCCTATAATTGTTTAATACTTTTAAGTAATTCAAAGTGAAGAATGCAAACAAAATGTCAAATCGATTCTAAAATGTAATCTTTTTATTTAGATATTTGACTGAAAAGCGAAGACAAGACTTAGCGAAGGATTTAAAGCTAAATGAGTCACAAATTAAGATTTGGTTTCAAAATAAGAGGGCGAAGATCAAGAAGACGACGGGCTCTAGAAATCCGTTAGCTCTGCATCTGATGGCTCAGGGATTGTATAATCACAGCACCGTTGCTGACGGCGAGGAGGACGACGATGATGACGACTACGAGGACAGGGACTCGTCGTGCACTTCACCGCCGCAGCCGATGGACACAAAGAGCAACAAATCTTAGTTATAATTGTTTTGCTCCAATGAATGGTTAAAATGTTGTGTAAATACTATGTTTGAAAAAAGCGAACAAATTATGATATAATTAATTAAATGTACAGTAATTGAGAGAATTATGATATAATATGGAATAATTTGAGGTCAATGTTATCAAAATATCTGTAAATGGACTACAATTACTAACCCTAAAGTATTATCAAAATTATAATCTCATGTTTAGAGTAAAAGCTATCATTTAAATGGTGTTAACTCTTTAAGTACTGTATAATTATCATGAATTCAAAAATATTTATTATTTCATTTGACTATCAATTCATGAAAAGCCTGTGCTTCTGATTACTGACTATTGACTAAGAATTTTGAAAAACAATTTTCATAGAAATAACCTGTAATTATAAGTGAAGTTATTAGATCAACCGTTTATTAGGTTTCTCAATACAAATACACGATTCACTGAAATACATGTTACAAAGTTTCATAAATACAGTATTAGTTGAATGTTATGCAAAGAGTTGTTTCTCATTATGATTATACAATGGCTTTATTTTTGCCAAAATGTCAGTGTTTTTATTGGCGACAAAAACAGCAACTAATCATTTACTCAATACAATCATAATTTATTATAAACACAATGTTTCTGTTGGAGCTGATGGCCAATAATTCACGACTTCATAATATAACAGTTATATTCAGTAATAAGTTTAGTAATCGTTTAGTCGATACTAATTTGCATGAAGTACTCAAAACAAAAGATTCTCATTTTTGTTCCTTTATTTCTTATTATACTTAAGTTCACTATAAATATATATACAAAAAATACTATACAGTAGTATAATATTAGACCATTAGTTCAATATAAATATACAATTCATGTAAAACACAAATAAATTAATTAAAATAATTAATTTCAAAACGAATTGGAATTTCTATTTCTTATTAAAATCAAATATACTTGTAATGCAATTACAGCTGTAATAATAATAAGAATGATATAAATTAATATAATAAATAGAAAACAAATGTCACGAAAATATCGATATAATTTAAGATAATTGTATAGAGTGTTTGTATTTGTTTGAAAGTAATTTATAAACTCAAGAATTCATGGTTTGACACAAGAATTTAAATGCGAGAGAGAGAGAGAGAGAGAGAGAGAGAGGGAGAGAGAGAGAGGGAATGGTATGAAAGAATAGTATAGAAGCGACTGTTTAGGAGCTGTCACAGCATTTCCGCGACAAACTCATTAAGAGCTCATTAACTTTGGGAACAGTTTGTTTTTCACTCCCAAAACAGACTCATCACTAACTAAGTGATCACATTTCACTGTATTTCCAAATCCCGTTCCCCAACAATCTTTCGGCTCCAAAATTATGTTATAAATAGTATTTTCTATTTTAGTTCTCAATTACATTGAGAGTTGATTTTTGCGAATACTTATTGACTATAAGTTGTATTTAATATATTTTGTCTAAAAGAAGTTTCCTATAACTATATTATAAGACAACATTTGAGCATCGGTTTAAATAAATTAAGTTATCTATAGATTATTATTTGAATTTAAAGTTGAAATATTTAGTTTTAATTTATTTTTCAATTATATTAGAATTTAGAGATAATCTTTGTTTAGTGAAACGTTAATAAATTGTTTACTAGGTATTTATTAAAAAATAGGTGGATACCTCATTGAAAATTTCAAACATAAAATAAGACTGTGGGCAAGTTTGCAAAATTCAGAACTGGAGGGAATAAAATAGGTTAAGAAATTGGACAGGTAACATAATATAGGCATAAATATAAAAACAAAAACTATACAGTATTTCATTAAATAATACAGCGAAAGATGTATGAATAAATTGATTTTTTTGAAACCAATATTGAAATATCCAAACCATAATTCATTTACATTAAATTATTACAATCAATAAAAAATAGTTAAATTAAATAAAGAATATATATATAGAATATGATAATGTTTAAAAATTATAGAGATGTGACCTTTTCTATTTGCTAATAATCTATTATTACTTTAAAATTTATATTAATTAAAACACATTAAAATAAAATAATTCTATAGATTGAAATAGTATCACTATATTGTAAATAAATTACTTGAGAAATATCATCAATAGGTTTTATTGGACTTTTTGAATCGACAATATATAGATTTATATACTGTAGTGAGATATAAACTGATACTATTTACGTGTGTAATATAGACTCACGAGTCGGTCGTTGTCATAAAGACATAGAAAATAGAGGAGAAATAATAGTGAAAAGTAAAAAATAGTAAGAATTAAGTTTGTTTTGGTGTCAATCAAACTGTTGTAACTGGAAATCTAATAAAACATATACTCCTATGTCCTCTATTTATAATAAAAGTCTTCAAATCTTATTAGTAGACGAAATAAAGCAAATGAACGCCTTTGGAGCAGACAATACACTCATATTATTATCATATAATACAGGAGTGAAAAGCACTGCATATACAGCACATCCTTCTCTAAGACATCAATTTTTCATTTATTTCATTGTCTGCTATTATAAGCAGCGATGCATTCATGTGTATGTATGCCTTAAAGGCTGTCCCTTCGGTGACGACCTCTTTTTGATGAGACGTCCTCTGTATTTGAAACCTTAGATGTCTTTTGCAACGCATCGTTTCAGAAGTGATAGGTTTGCCAAAAAGTATAGCAAATTACAGGTTCTCATAGACTACCACTTTTTGACCACAATTTTCTATCTACTTATTCGACAACAATTGCACTCCTCTTATAACTTATCAAATAGTTTTTGGTCTCAAAAATCAAATACTTGGCGTACGATCATCCGTACCATTCAAACTCCAATTCAAACTCATTTCTCTTCCACTCATTTAATTTTAAACAAAAAAATCTCAATTTCTTGAGAAACACTTTTTTATGAGAGAACCGAAATGAACTAATGTTTAGGAAATGCCTGGTTTTGTGTAGTTTCACACTCCGTTTGACTGACTTCGCGGTGGGTCGACATCACAGACATTGCATCCACTCTAAGGTTTAAGCTATAGTTGCAATGAATTTGAGGAAAATGTTTGAGACAATCACGTAATTCAGACCAATTGACATAAAATAAATGCTGCATTGAATTACACAAGATTTGGTTTATAACATGTGGAACCATTTAGTTTAATCATAAAATTAAATTAATGCCAAAATATGTGCTTTTTACAGCTTTTAAAAGTAAATTTTATTAGTTTCAAAAACGAGAACTCTATTTATTTCTTTAAATTTTAGTTTAAATTGATTTTTATAACAAATTAAGATTTCAATTTAAAATGCAAAAGTTTTACTTAAAATTATTTAAAGATATATATTTTCTCGAATATTTATAAATTAATTATAAAGAAATTGTAATATGAATTATTCAAATTAAAATATCATTAATTCAAAAGTTACATAAACTGAAAAGCTATTGCATGTTACGCCCTATGATACACAATTGAATTTTAATACAAACACATACAGAATCCGCATTAAATACAGTACAGTATGTATAGAATATTATTCTATTAAGTTCTCAATTTCTTGCCTCAAATAATAAGTTTTGAGATTAATAATTAATATGTTTATTATTTTTTAAATTTTTGTTTGTAACTTTTTAAAAATAAATCCTTCAAGATTTAATAAACATGCATTTGTGAGAATTCTAACTAAATTTGAGAAAATGATAGTAATATTTCCTTTGAATTACACAATGAATAACTTTAATAACAATATAATTATCAAAATACATTGTAAAAATGTATTTGTTTGACTATGATTTGAACACATTTTCAGTAATTTGCATTTTAGTTTAGGATTAGAGTTTAAAATGAGATTTGTTGAAAAAGAGGTCATAAATATTGTACTATACTACTATAATATTTGTTACAAGTTACTGTTATAAGAAAATCTCTTTTGTTTTTCAAAAACTTTATTAATCGACAAAAATTAAATTCAAGTTTTAGAAATGGATTGCTTTTTAATTGCATTTACAGAGCAGTGAGTGGTCTCCAATTTTAATTTGTGTGACAATGAAATGGTTGTTGAAAAATATAAATTGTTTGAAAAGATAAGGATATTTTTAACACAATTTGTATTATATTTTAGACTTTATTAAAAAACAAGAATTTTTATCGTAGCTAAAAGTGATGACAATAGTATAAAATCAAGAAATTGCTATTACTTTATAAATCTTTTAATTCATTTACATTGAATATTTATTTAAATAAAAAAAACTAGACTAAAATACACTGTATAAATTATATAATATAGTATTGTATTCTAATTTTATTACTCAACGCCTCTCAAAGGACAATGAAATACAGTTTTTTCAAACATATTATGTATTAATATAAGAATTCATTTTATTACAACCTTTTTGTGTCTGTTGTAGAAAATCTGATAAAATATTCTTTGCAACCAATCAATCAAAACCTTTATTTCCTTTCGAATAAATTTAATTGAATTTTTGTTTCTTTTATTGAGTGTTGAAACATAATTCAAATTGTAATCTCTATATAAATAAATGCATATTTGTTTCCATTTGAATGAAACAACGTTTTCTTTAATTTTGACAAAATATGAGTTTATATTCAATATTCTCAAACTCTATGAAATAAAACTTTGATACAAATCTTATAAAACAATTTTGTGACTGTATTGAATAAAGTAGAGGTTAGAAAAGGTCGATGATTGGTTTGGAATTACAATTTGATGAATATATTTTCAAAATTAATTATTTACAGTAATTGTAATTAAATGATTAAATAAAGCATTTATATAACCCAAGTCTCCACTTATGTAGAGATAAAGTTCCCGAAAGAAAGTAAAGATTACATATCTTTATATATCTGTCTTTGAAATATAAAAACTTAATTAATACCCAATTAATGAGTGGGAAAAGAGTTGGAGTTTGATTGCAATGAGAGGCCTGTGTTGTGATGTAATGAATACAGGAACCAAAGAAATTGCGATTTCAGATGAAACTCATTACATGAGCCCAACGTCTGACTGGAATCGACATACAGTGCAGTCATAACACGCTATCGACGGATGACATCAACATAATAGAGATCTGTGAGAGAAGGGGCACAGGAGAGGGACATACGGGACAAATGTTAAGACAATCGTCGCGTGAGACAAATCCACCACAAGAAACGCAAAAATTCAAATTCAAATAATCAATGCAAACATTTCTGTTAGACGAAAATTTGGAGAATAATTTTATTTAAATCAATGATAATTAGGTTTTTATTGTATTTTATTGTCTATTGATTTTTAGTACGAGCAAAGAAAACAATTGTCTGAAACCTTCAACTTTATTATCAATTTATACAAAACAAAATTACATCAAATTTGATAAATTATAAAGAATATTATAATATTTTTTTAAATATTTAAATTAGAGATATAATTAAATTGACAAATCTGTTTTACAAATTATATTTATAATAATATTATTTACGCAAATTACTGCCATTAACTTGTTAAATATGGTTTTGAATAACTTTTAAAACTGAATGAAATATTACGGATCATTAAATGCAATACACGTGCACAATTAAACACCTTAAAATATAATATTGATATTATTTATAACAAGTTTTAGTTTTTTAAATTTCAAATTAATTTCTAAAAATTAAAATTACCTCTACATCTTAAGTTTTTAATTTGTACGCAAATTGTAAACATTAAACAAAAACAAAACATCTAAATTGCTTTATTTGACTCATTTGTTTATTTTATCTCAAGTTTTAAGACTTGACTTAAGAGATACTTCAAAGTCATTATACACTTAAGTGTCTTTATTTTGCAATCAGTAAACCACAAAACTTTTAGCCATAAATACCATTAACTAAATTATTGTATCTGATTCAAATCAAAAACTTGTTTTCAAACAGTTGTGTGCAGTGGTGGGAACCGGGGTTAAACTTAAAATTTAATTGTAAAGCAATTGTCGATTATCAAACAAACTCTTTGTTCATTATGCCATATATTTTATAAACCTTATTTTTATGATACGCTTAATATTTAGAAAGATTTGAATCAATTTAAAGCTATTTGAATGCGAAAGACCTGGACATCTATGAAATGTCGCAAATGATTTGAAATGAGATTTATTTTCCCACGTTTTGCACGTCTTTCTACACTTAAAAGCGATTCATTAGAATGTCTTAAATTCTTTACTCTTTTAACATTTGTTTTGTTTTAATTAAAATTATGGATCAAATAAATTAAGATTCACTGCATTCGAGTCTATATTTTATTGAATAATCTCTCCTTTGATGTACAGTTATATTAAGGCTTAGATTTAATGCTTTATTTATGTATTGGATGTCAAATTGATGGTCACCGGTATGTGAATCAACTGATATATCAGTTACAATCTGATGGCACTCTTCAACCACAGGCGATGACGGCTCTTGTCGTATGATTTAGTGATCGGAATAATTGAAAAAATAATTACAAAACATTTGAGTAAATGTCGGACTTTTTTGCGGGTGGTCTTCAAAGATCTGCCAATTTGTTGACCTCTTAGAGACCTATTAAAAAGCATTAAATGTTTACTTTTTACTAAAATATACACATTTTTGTGAAATACTTCCACAACATTACAGATATTTTCTTAACTATTAAAAACATTTTCTAATATCGATTTTATGTCTGTTTTTGTTTATCACTTTGAAACTAATTTGAATAACTTATGCGATAAATATAGATACTAATGATAAATATTAAAATATTTAATTATTATTCAATTAAATTATAGATTAATAACTAGATAAATTCTAGTTTAATTAAGATATAAAATTTTCATATAAAATATCTAAATTTCGTAATTCATAAAAGTTAGCACAATATTTAAATGTGCCAACTCTTTAACTATTATTGAGCTTTATATATCAATATAATTAAAGATAATACAATATTTTAAAGGTGTAATAAATTTATATATTTTATATTTATAAATAAAGTTTAATCATATAATCCTTTAAATATTTGTTTATGAAATGTATGCAAAATTGTTTTAAAATTCTAATTAAAAACCAGTAAAATTCACTAAAAGAATGCAATCATGTTATTCTATGAAAAGTGTTTAGCTTTTTGGTCATTTAACTACAATAATAATTATATAAATAGCATGAAAGACATAAAGGAGAGCTCAATATAAATAATAAATTGAATCAATGATTATAGTCTGTTATGTTATTCTATGAAAAGTGTTTAGCTTTTTGGTCATTTAACTACAATAATAATTATATAAATAGCATGAAAGACATAAAGGAGAGCTCAATATAAATAATAAATTGAATCAATGATTATAGTCTGTGTTAAGTACTGAATGGATGGCCGAATGGGTGTCGAAGTAAGCGGTGGTCTGAGTGTCAGCAACTGTGAACCGGTGCTAAACGAGCCCATCATAGGTACCGGTGCTAAACGAGCCCATCATAGGTTTCAGGCATTCAGCGTTTGCCACTAACTCTCCACTTGTGTGGTCTTTCGGCACTCAAACCATAAAAAGCGGTTATTATTGTTGTCATAGTTTCGTACAATTAGTGACACTAAACACTCGCTATCATTACACTGCCTGTCCTGTTAGTCCACCACCGCTATCAATGACAATAGCCATCATAATATTGAGCCTTTAATTTGATGTATGGGTGAAACACAGTGTGAAAAATAGCTAATTATAGACAACAGTAAAGATCAATGTTTCTCTATATGATAACAAGTCTTAAAGTCTAAACTCACGGGTAATCTAATTCTCACAACTAATAAATAATAGCAGTGTTGTGACGATTTGCCAAATAATCATTAAATATTTGCGTGTTTTTTAATCAAACCTTTTGGTGTCTCAACCACTTATCATAACAGGAATACTATTTATTCTTAACTCTTATTTTACAGTACATTTGTGTTACCATTGCATTCAACCTCTTAATTACAATCATCATATATGAATGATAACTATCATTTAAATATTATTGTCTAATGATTGCAAACGATTAATGTTTAACATGTATGTTGTGCTAAACCTTAATATGTTGTCGATTATGACTGTTTCATAATAGGAAAGACACCCAATCCTCTAATGATCCCTCAAATGAAAGACTATTTCGTTTTGAATTCTTTCACATTTAAAGTTTGAACCAAATGTCAAATTCTTTCACTTCAAGGATATTACAATAATTCTATTGATATATGATTTGCAAATTTAAATATTTATTTATACTTTGTTATTAGTATAATTGAGTGGAATAACTGATAATTAAATTATTTGAATTATTTTATGACTTCAATAATCACAATAGTAAGAAACAAAACATTTAGTCAATTAACCAAACGTTATGTTTTACGACAAACATTGACCACAAAGTATACACATCTGCTCAACAGAGTTAAGAAAGCAATCATTTTTGACTTAAAATTATTTCCTAAAACAGATTAAAAAACATTGTTTTTGACATCTGTTTGTTTCGTACGAATCAATCATATAACAGATGCTCTCAATTATCTCTTTAATACAAACCAAATAATCATTAGAATTGATATTTATTTGTACTTCAAATCACTTATTCTTACAACAGATAAGAGAATTGATGTGACAATATTATCAAACAAATTTTTAAATCAAACTTTTATTTAAAAACTTATTTTTAAAAATAAAGTTATCTATAAGAATACATAATTGAATACAGAATTTACTTTTTGAAAACAGAAATATTTCTAAAGTTTGTGTGCCTTATATTCAGCCAAACGTTTTTTGATGAGTTTTGCGGCCAATATTTGTGGCCGAATCTGCAAATCGTCTAAATATTCTTTACTCGACGAAACCTGATCTCCATTGAGTCTATTAAGAAGTGCCACACAGATAATGGCGCCTTTGATGCCGGCGTAGTAGCACATGGATGCGAACGCAATGGCCTCCATCTCTATGTTGACAACACCTGCATCTTGTAATTGGTATAAGTAATTATTTTTCTCCTCTTCGGTAATATTGCAAAACGCGCCGTCGAGTCGTGCCTGCGATTCATAGAAGTCGAGGGCACACAATGTGGTGCCACTCACCACACGGAACCCACTTATCTCTTGAGCCGCTATTGACTTCAATTCAGACACCAATTCGTTGTCGCATATCGATGGCCGCTGAACCACTTTCCCCAATATATACTGCAATCATTGATTATATACCGTAGATATTATATTGATTATATAAATTGTGGCCATAATATACAGTATATGATATCTCACTGACCAGTTCATAGAAGGGTCTCAGGAGACCATCCACTGCCTTCTCGGTGATGATAACGGTGCCCTGGTCTACGCCTGTGCAATGTTTAATCAATTGTCAATTGTTTTAATTACTACATTTGACAAATGAATACCTATTCCACCACAAGTTCCTATTCTAAGAAATATAACATTGGTGCATTTGGCATAATATACGAGTTTTATGAGTTCGTGAAGTAATATCGACAGCGAAGAGATACCCATTCCATGCTTTTGTGGCAATACAGTCATAATGTATTATATATAAAGTCAAACATAGAGTAGGGACAGGAATACCGTAACGGAAAGGACGGGTCCGATCTTAAACATGTTGTATCGATGAGACGCTTGTGTCCAGTCTTTGTGGTCAAACTCAATGTTCAATTGATTGGCCATATATTGTGCGAAGGACTTCATGCGTTTGAGAGTTCCGCCCACACATACAAACTTGACATCCCCAAACAGCGCCGGCAGGTCATGGGTCTCTGTACCAATTGCCAAGTGATATAAGTTGTCGGACGATAAACTTTTCAAATGCGGATTCTGTATAATTAGTGATCCATCTTTACTATACATTTATAAGAAACAATTGAGACAATCATTTGGACAATAGTTTGCATTCATATATAAAACCTAAGGCTTTGTTTTGAATCATCCAGAATGATTTCTTGATTCTCTGTAAACCGTCTCGAAGTCATTGTATTGTGTTTTGCAAATAATAGCTACTTTTGTTTCGCATGCA